TTTCTGTTTTTTACATTCTCCCGTGTCTTTTTCTATTCATTTCATTCTCATTCACCTTTCTTTTACTTTTCTCGCCTGTGATCGTCGTGCTGAATTGATCGCACTCAGCAAATGCCGGGGTCAGCTGACAAAGACACTGACCTTTGGTATTAAAAAGTGCCTACATGACACAGTCTGGCTTGCAGTTTTAAAGCCACATTGGCTGGGGTCTTATTGTCTGTTTTGAACCCAACAAACAAATACATTTGGGTCAAGAATCAGCATACAGATTAGGTTTGACAGAACATTTGGGCGAGGCAAACATCATGACCAAGCAAGTTTTTTTTTGTCTGCACCCCTGATAGGTTTGTCCAGCAAACTGAGCAGCCACAGTCACAATTTAGCCACATTTAGCCGGGAGCTGCTGTTAATCTCCACACTCTGTTTATAACTCAAGGTGTTTGCAGTATCATTATAAAGCTTGGTATTCATGTCAGGATCTCTATTTTGAAAATGCATGACACACTCTGTGCCTGAGTACCAAGGACGTAGGTGCTGCCAGCCACAGGGGACAGTGCAGTTAACTGCTTTGTTTTTGCCCTTGATGAAGTTACAGGATATAAGTTAAAAGCAGAGTGGGACGTTAGAAATAGTCACCAGACAATTTTGGTCAATTTTTTGATGCTTTGTGTTCATGAATCCAGCATTTAAGCAGTTTTAAATCAATGTTAACACCAAAGGTTTGTGTGCTATAACAACTATAGCCTTCCTTAATCTGACCCTTGTGTGCTTATTTACTTTTATAATGACCTAGAAACCATGCTATATTAAGAATACCTTAATTAAATGGTCATATTTTTACCTGATCATTCATGCCAATAATGTGCATTTGAGATCTATCCCGCAATTTGAGTTCAGAAAGAAAGAGAAGCAAAAGCAGGGAAGTGTATAGATAGTCAGAAAGAGGGTAAATAGAAATAGGTTGAGGTCTGGTGATATGAGGCAGAGGCTGGGGAGAAGATGGTAGCCAGGAAACAGACTTTTTGAAAGGTATATAGTGACAAAAAGAGGGAATTTTGTACAAAAAAAAGACTAACTTTTAAATTTGCTCACTCTGACTGCCAATGCCTTATAATAGCTTCAGAAAAACAAAACGAGGACTGTGGATTCTGTCCCCCCATCACTTCCAATGGAAAAGGGATCTTTTAACGGCCAGTATGAACAGGAGGGATGATTACAGCGCGCAAAAAAAGAAAGAAAAAATCATCGGACTATTATTTTAAGACAGACTTTGAAAATCCAACCCTATTCTAAAGGAGAAGGAAGAACAGAGAAGATGAGAGGGAGAAGCGGAAGAGAGGAGAGTTGCTGTCAGTTGTGCTCGGCTGCCTCCTTCTATGTAAAAATGCTTGTTTCTGCAGCTCCTCTCCCTCTCTCTTATCCTCACCTGATCACTGTTGCCTCTCCTCCCATCTCTCTCTCTCTCTC